ACCTCAACACGCAATTTTGCAATTAATTGATGTTCCTTATCTTCTTTAATGTTACAAAATCCTCGATTCCCAAGAACACCGTAAATTTGTTGACGTAATTTTGTTGATGTAGCTTTGCTTACTTCATCATTCCCAGCGCGATTCTCTGGAACCAAATCTATCAGTGCCAATAACTGTTCAGTTGTATTAACAATTTTTGCTTCCAATTTTTGATCATTATCTTGTTCGTCATCGTTATTATCCTTATCAACTGTTTTATTCTCATTAAAATATTCATTACTTTTATTAATGATGGTTTGAATCACAAGTCGTTCTAATAAACCAGAAATCAAAATTTTATTATTTTTGATTTCACCGTTTAATTGGCAACCAAATTTTTCTAAGAGAAGCTTTACTTCCGATTCATTAATTTCAATTCCTCTTTTTAGACCACAAAATTTTTCTAAACGGTTATGTAAAATACGAATATCCTTTGATAATTGACCGGCGCTAGCAGAATCATGAGATTCTAAGTGAGAACTTGTAGCATTACCCAAGGCCAGTTGATACTTTGTAGCTTCTTTTTTTAAATCATCATTAGCTTTTATAACATTATTTAACCTTTTTAATAAATCATTACGGTCATTTTGAGAATTTGATTGAAGTTTTTGATAATTTGATTCAATAAATTGATAGTCAGATTTAAGATTTTGATACTCAGTTCGAAGATTATGATATTTACTTTCAAGTGAATTATGTTTTGATTGAAGATCTTGAAGCAGGTTAGACTGATTAGAATTAGAATTTGACCACCACCATCCAGAACCGCTATTTCTTGCATTTGCGTTATTTGGGTTATTTGGGTTATTTGGGTTATTAGGAGCGAGAATAATAGATTTTAGGAGACTACATGTTAAGTAAAAAGGATCTTGATATCTTTGAATATGAACATTATAAACATCTTTACTAATAATTACATAGTCATTTTCAAAGTCAAAACAGTTTGCTTTATTGATTTGTTCATTAACATAAATTTGCTTCCCTCGTATAATCTGTTGTTGTTCGCTTATGAATTGTTGTTGATCCGATAGGAATTTATCGATAGATTGTAAGTTTTTTATGATATCTTGTTCTAGTTGTGTATTTTGTTGATAAATTAAGGTATCATATAGTTGTTTTGGAAATTGCCGGATGTTTTGTAAAAATCCTTCTTGTCTTTGCAAAAAATTTTTTTGCTGTTCTAAAGGATATTGTAATTGTTGATGCAATTGATGTTTCAGTTGTTCTATTTGTTTTATAAGTAGTTGGTCCCAATCTAAATGTTGTTGCCCTTGTGATAAAAGCTGTTCTTGTTGTTGTAAATGCTGCTGCTGTTGTAACTTCTGCTGTTGTTGTAAATGCTGCTGTTCTTGTAAATGCTGCTGCTCTTGTTGTTGTAAATTCTGCTGTTCTTGCAATTGCTGCTGCTCTTGTTCTCGTAATTGCTGCTGCTCTTTTTCTTGCAATTGCTGCTGCTCTTGTGTTTTAATAAAATCATTTGTCATCTAATTTAGCAATAATAATTACATTCTTGATAGATTAGATTTTAAATTGA